CTTTCCCCTTCGTGAACCACTGAAGGAGTAATGACGAATAAGACCCACTATGCAGTGGGCAGGCCGTGTAGACTGCAACGCTAATGGCTGATAAAATCACTTGGTCCCGTGCTTATGTAGCCAATCAAAGAGGCCAGGGTGGGGTGGGGTGGGAAATTAAAACCCAAATTCAGATTACATGCTCTTAGTAATCCTACTACAGGCTACAATTCTGCCTTAAGTGAAAAACAAGGACAAGCTACTACGGGGGCACTCGACAACATACAGAATGATGAACTGCGGAATAAATGACTTTACTTACGAAAGGGGAACAATGATGAGATAGGGGCCATTGAGTCTTTTGTGCTCCATCAGATAAGTGATGAGTGCAATGGTCTGTATGGTCTTTCCTAGCCCCATTTCATCAGCTAAGATTCCGTTCAAATTGTTATTATACAGGGAAACCATCCATTCCAGGCCCTGGAGCTGAAATGAAGAGTAATTGCTTCAATTATCCAAGATCTGCACAGGTAATTAATACTAATACAACTCAAGTGAGGCTATGACTTCTTAACTCCTCAGTGCTTTATGTTGGGTTTCCCACAGTCAGAAAGTCGGGGAGGCACCAACGTGGACAGAATGTAAAATATGAGCCTGTAATCGTCCCTGCTGCCTGGCAGGTGCCGAGTGTTAATCAGATTTAGAAATGATGGGCTATAGCATACTGGTGGGATTTTAAGCAGCTTTCCTGCTCATCCTTACTTAGCATTTCACAGTATATGACATTCTAGAATTATTATAAATGAAGAAAACCCAAACCTAAAATCTCTTCCAACCACTCCAAGAACAAAAAGCCAATGTGAGGATTAAAGACAAACAAACCAGAAGCCAGATTTGGCATAGATCATTAGACATAGCCTTTTTGGTAATGAATAGACTACCCCCTAGGGCGAGATCCCCTCAGTGAGGAAGCAGAGGGACCAGGGAGCCAGGGCCACTCTGCTGGGACCACAGGAGGACATTTTTCTTCCTGGCAGAGAGAAAGTTCCCAGGCAGCACATGGAAACTTTGCAATGTGGGTGCTCCCCCAAGGCTGCACGCGCTGGAAGCTGATCGCCTGGAAACACGTTCAACATATTTTTAAAGTACAAAAGCCCTGCATCACAGAGTCAGCTTTGGATTCCCCACATTAAGTACAAAAGAAAGCCTGGTGAAGATACAAAATTGTTAAACCTCCATCCCACAACCACCAATTCCCTTCCACCATCATACCACAGACGCTGGATTTAAATGGTCAATTACATATATATATATATTATATATATTTCTGCTAAAGTCAATTTAGCTTGCTAATGATGTTATACTTAGGGAAATGTTAATATTAATTTGTTTTATGTAAGAACCAAGCAAATGATTCATTTATTTAAAATACCAAGGTCTGTAAGACACGTGCCTCCCTGCAGAAGCTTGCATTCAGAGAGGAAACAATAAACAAAGCACACATGCACATTTCCCAAGAAGTAGTTGACAGTGCCGATGTGTAAAATTTTATTGACCAGAAATTTTTCTTAGAGAGACACTACAATGGTTTGAAGAACTACTTTCATAAGCCACTTACGGTCTCTTGTACCATGTGAGACTCCAAGTCATCCCAAGGTGTTGCAGAACTACAGCAACACCAATAGATAAGCAGAGAAACAGGAAGAGCCTCCAAGAGAATGGGCAAAAGACAGAGAGGGGAAGAGGGAAAATAATTGCAAGCCACAAGGTGTAGACGGGAGAAACTGCCCACAACGTGACCACAAGACCACCAGACCTTTAGAAAACTCAACTAAATATAAGAAATATTTGGATACTTTGTGGGAGTAGTTTTTTTTAAAACAAAAATTGGTAAAGGGACTGAATTTTGCATCTGTGTTGATTCCAGGTAAGACAGAAGCAGAGACTAGACAGAGGGTACTAGAAATTCACAAAAGTTGTGGGAAGTGATTTGGACTTTCCCAGGCTGTGGGACTGGGGGGTGGGGAGGGTTGGATATTGCACCAAGCTTATGTGGCTCTCCAGGAAGCAGCAGGAAGGCCTCAGCTATGTCAAGGTTAAGTGAATATTAATGATCCAAAAGCCTGTCAAGGAGCAAGAAAAGCTTACTTGTGGACAGAAGGATCAAGGAAGGCTTTGGGCCACATTTTGAAGTGTGGTGGAAGGAATGGAAAAGACCTTAATCAGGCAGATATGTGTGGTCAGATTCTAAGAAGCAGGAACCTCATGAGGCAGAAAGCCAGACGGAGACAGTGCAAGGCAGGTCCAGGTAATCTGCAGCAGCTCAGCGAGGGGGAGAGGCAAAAAAGTCACATACGGAAGGAGGAGAAACTAGGTTTGAAAAAAGAGTGATGAAGAGTGCTTACGAAGGTGTGGGACAGGGGGAGAAAATCAATGTGGCACTAAAAGTTAGTTATGAACAATCCAACACATCTCCCATAAACAGGTACACAAAAGTTTATTAGAACGGACTCTGAATTAACATCTATGACAGGTAGGTCAAATGATGAAAAAGATGAAAACCACTCTGGACCTCATGAAAGTGGTATGGTCTTTGGAGAAAATATGACCTTATTAAGGCCAGAGTAGTGGTCCTCCCTGGAGGCCCTACGACCTTTGCAGGGGATCCACAAGGGCACAATGATCGTCATGATGCTAAGGCATGATTTGCCATTTTTACTGTGTTGACATCTGCACAGATGACATGAAAGCAATGATGGGTAAAAACTGCTGGCACTTTAGCACGAATCAAGGCAGTACTGTACTAGCAATCATTGTACTCTTCACTCCCACGCAATGGAAGCAGACATAGCACCGAGGGTTAAGAGTGGAGGGGACCTGATGCCAAAAAGTTTGAAAACCACTGGCCTAAAGCATGTACTTCCTAAAGTATATTCTAGAAGACATTAGTTTTACAGGATGTTAAGGGATGATATATAAAAACAGGGTTTGGTGCTGAAAGAAGTTTAGGAAATACAAAGTTAATGTTAGACAAGTTATTTTACTGCAGGACACTGATGTGCATCATGGATCACACACTTGTTTTTGCAGAGTCATTAGTGTACTGATGTGTGTTGTGAATTACCAAGAGGGGTCAAGGGGTCATAGTCAGGGTGACCATATGCCTAGTTGGCTTAGCACGGTCCAGGATTATGCCTATCATCAATAATAATAGCCTCCATTCACTCTCACAAGTATCCAAATTTGGAATAGTAAATGATATGATAAGCCTAGTTACAACTGATAGTATTTCCTGTATTTACTTGACCACAAAACATTTTTTCTTTTTTGAGGAACAACTCATGGAACAAATGTTCAAAGGAACACACTTCGGGAAACCCTACAGAGTGGTAGAAGGTAGAAGACAGGAATTAATTTCAATCCAGACAGGTCAAATGAAACATTTGTTATGTTTATAACCTACTTTTTAATCAATGCACAGATGCTCACAACTTTATTGTGTCTTAATACAAAAAAGCACGAATGTAGTAGACAGCTACTCCGAGGTGATTGAATTCACAGCAAAGAACTATAGCCACAACCAAAAATTTTACAGAAACACTTCATTTACTTCGAGATGAGGCATAGATGTTCCCTACATTAACAGAATGTGGCTGGGGTTTCCATTTTGAATAGATCTACAACGAAACTGTTCTAAATGTTAAGCCAGTATTTCTTAAGACAAGGTTCATTCCAAAACCACAACAGAGAAAACTGGTACGGTATGCCCTAGTAAAGATGGTAACATGGAAGTACCCTAAAAGAATTACAGGCAGGGTAGGAAGGATGTCAATATCATACATGATGTGACTAAAATGTCTCACCATCATGAAAACCTCTTCATCAGTGAATAAGCATGACATATTTCAATCAAAATTAGGTAAAAGACTACTACTTGCCAAGGAAACATAAACCACACGCATTACCTGGTAATGCTTCAGAGTCCCGTTAATGAGGAGGGCAGACTGCTTCTCCACCCTCTCGGAGATGGCGTGAGCCACGGTGTAGTAGGACTGGGAGCCCCTGGCGCTGTACTGCATGCTGTATTCATCATCCACGTCTTGCTTCGCTGTCCTGAGAAAGGGAACATGGAGAATCACACACAGACATTCGTGTGCATGTGTTATTTCATTTCATTCAAGAAATGAATCGAGAGCTAAAATAGCTGCAATAAATACAGTTTATTTATCACCCACTACATGCCTTGCAGTTAAAATATACTACCTATAATCCTCACAAAAACTAAGCATGGTACACATTATCATCATCATTCTCATTTTATGCATGTGGAGAACTTGAGGTTCAGAAAGGTTACTTCTTAGCTGGGCATGCTGGCACATGCCTGTAGTCCCAGGTACTTGGGAGGCTGAGGCAGGAGGATCGCTTGAGCCCAAGAGTTTGAGGTTGCTATGAGCTAGGCAGATGCCACGGCACTCACTCTAGCCCGGGCAACAGAGTGAGACTCTGTCTCGAAAAAAAAAAAAATTCGAGACCAGAGAGGTTACTTCATTTGTTTAGGTCACATAAAATGTAGTGAAAACAGGATTTGAAAGCAGGTCCCTTTGAACTCAAAAGACCAATAAGAGTCTGAACCCTACACCTGCAGATTAACACTTTGCCACTGAAGCTGTCCTAGTCTGCTAGGATACGAAGGTGAATTCTATTCACTGAGCACTGGCTAAAGTTTGAATGACAGGTGGGAGACAGCAGCAAAGGGGTAGGAAAGAGGAAAGGTAGGCTTCTATCTTCTATGCCGTGTTCACAAGCTATTATTTGCTCGTACAGGTAACGAAGAGCCATCGAGGGGTTCTTAAAACCTTCAGTGAAGGAGCTTGGCAGACTGGTAAAATGAAGGTTCCTAAAGTGGGGCACAGAGCTATGGGCTAAAAGGGGAAAATTTAAGAATGTTTATTTCTGGTTTTTAAAAAAATCTCATCTTTTCAAATGTGCTCTTTTGCATATTGTTTCGCAACAGTTTTCTTTTAATAGCAGAGCTATCCAAGCAGAGAAGTAAGCAAGCTGCCGATACAGGGGGCCCACGGAACGGATGAGACGCTGAGCGGGGCACTGAGCGGGAAGGGTGGGGAGGGTTCAGGGACCGGCTGGGGGCTGGTGGCTGACTTGGCTATGGCAGAGGACTGGTTTCTGGGCGAGTACGGATGCCATTAAGGGAGACAGGAAAGGCAGCGAAGCAGCCAGTTAGGGAGGTAGGTTTGATTAGTCCAATCTGGGATGAGAGTGCAGAGGACACGTGTGAATGAAGCCCAGAAATGAGCCTGAGCTGAAGTTGCGGGTTCAGGAGGGAAAAGAAGAAGGGAAGGAGGGAATGTGGGAAGGAGGGAGGAATGAAAGAAGGGAGGAAGGGATGAAGGAGGGAAGAAAGGAAGAAAGATAGATGAGAGCTGAGTGGGGACCTCTGACTGCACAGCTTCAAGCAGAGTGTGAGCATGAAGTTAGCTCTCTTCCTTAAGCCCAATTTTCTAAATGGCAACTTATAAAGCATCATCCTCATGCAATGCATCTCCAAGGGAAAAAAACTCTGAGAGATACATACTCGATGATCTGCTTAGCATCCTTCTCAGAAACTTCTTCGCTATTTGGATCCAGAAGTATTTTCTCTTCAGTCTCCTGCCTGCTGGACTCTTCCTCCTCATCCTGGGGAAAGAACAAAGACAGGGAGAAAATTGCATTTTAGCAAGGGATTCTCTAGGAGGCATTTTCTGAAAAGAGATGAAATAGTATTCCACTTCGAAAAACAAAAAAGTACATAAAACCAAGGGAGGAAATAAATTTAGCATCTCCTTAAGCCAGGCAATACACCATCCCCCTGCTATTTAAATTACTGAGTCAGAGAAGGAAAGGAGCCCTCTGGGCATCCCCTAGAACCCTTGCTCCCAAGAATACGTAAGTAAACACCATGCCAGAAAGATGGATATTTATCATTATTTGGTTATCAAAGAGCCCTGTAGACCATATCTGCCTCATTTACTTAGTAGCATTAGATATTCCTCTCTCCAAAGCCAGACTTTAGAGATCTAGTATCCTCCTCCTCATACACGTGTGCTCCCAGGTAGACTTTGAGGGCCCCATATCTGTCCTCTGTAGAGACGTGAAGCTCGTAGGCACACTGCTTTCTGTGGCTGATTCGTGTCGCACATTTCTGAGCTCTGAGATTTAAACTGTCCATACCTTGGCACAGGATTCCACACCTCCCACCCCTGGACTACATACCACACTCAGCCGGCCAGTTTGAAAGCATCACTACGTACTGATTTACATCCACCGCTAAGCTGGTGCTGAAGGTTAAGTGTTTCTAGATCATCCAGCAGAATTTCCTTTAAAAGCAGGTTTAAGGAGAATCATGCTTTTCCATAATTCTTGAATGAAAAAGTATGAACTGACACGTTATCAGTGCTTACATTCATCCTGTGCTAACAGATCATTTAAAAGCAGGGAGTAAGCTGAGGACTCGGCACAACCTCACTTTCCAGGTGAGGAAATGAAGCTCTGAGAGGGGATGTGACTCTCCACAGTCACGCGGGCTTGCTTGTGGCAGGCCCGAGACGAGTTCCCGAGTCTCCTGTCTCCCAGGTCAGAGTTCGTTTGCTTCCCAGCTATCTAGGGCTGTTGGTGCTTGTTGGTGTCTCAGGGTGGCACCCGCTGGTCAGGCAGCCTACTTCACCTTCTCTCTGTCCCTCTCAGCCTCTCTTACTCACAGAGAAGTTTCTTCCAATGGATCATTTATGGGCATACTCATCCAAGTAAACAAGATACATTTTAAAATTGATTTTCCAACCTTTAAATATCTCAGAGATAGAGTAGCTGGGGGAAAAAAAAAAGCATGGCACAGAAAGTATTTGCTCTTTAATGGTTATGCTTTTTTTAATGTTACTCTTATTATTTTTCTTCTTTACAAAAGCAGGAAGTGCTCGTGGTAGATTAATGTAGAAAACACGGATCCACGAAATATCAGGAAAATAGCCATTGTCTTAAGATCCTGGTAAGGCTGCTTTATCCAGCCCTTGGCCCCTGTGCCATGGCATTCTTCGGACTAAGATTCTCCTACACTGGAAATCATCAGATTTAATGACTACATATTAACAATGCTCTAATAAAGGAGACCAAATCTTCCAACTCTTCTATTTGTAATTATTACATACTTCATAGTTTATCTAACAAATATCTTCATTGTTTCCTAATTTCTATTAAATGTATGCAAAATTCCCATTTTAGGTGCTAGATATATTAAGTATTCCTTCTAAGAGACTGAGAAATGTGATTCTCTTTGGGTTACAAGTATATCTAAGGAATTCGAAAGAGAATCACATTTAGAGAGAAATCAGAAGGATCAATAAACTCATTAAACCAAGCTCATGTTGCCCTTTTCATCTAAGTTCCCAGACTTTCAACGTCAACTAAACTCTAAGGCGTAAAGGACTTCAGAAATTTTTAGGCAGCTAACTCTCAGTGTGAACCACTTGGAGGCATGGGATTGCCTTTCCCAAAGCAATAAGTAATCCATCCTCAATTTTCCCCGAAAGACCATTTCACCATCTCCAAGTTAATGCCAGCTTCTCATTTCTTGGTTCCAAATGAATTTAGAACTCGCCAAGCTTCCCCATCAGCCAGGAGCCCCCAGGAGATCACTGTACCAGGAGGCATGCCTCATCAAAGCTTCTGCAAATAAATCCTTAGCCACACTTGTCACCCAAAAGCCAACCCTGGAGTAAGAAGTGACAGATGAACACAGTGGCTGGGCCTACGTTCAGGGGCCTACGTTCTTTCTCTACCAACTTTCTTCCTTCCTTTTTTTAAAATTTTCTTAATTATTTCCTATTTTTGGCTATGTCTGTGGAATCTCTACCAACTTTCAAATCAATAAACCCCAAACAGAGATACATACATACCTCCTCCTCATAATCAGAATCACTCTCTTCACTGTCGGATCTAGGAGCAACTTCATAACTAAGGAAAAGGAATTGGGAAGAGAAGGGGGCTTAGTTCTTTAAATTATAAGACAATACAGATGCACATGACTTAACGAGCGTGTTCTATGTACAAATGACAAATGCAAATAACAACTTCAACCATGTCAGCAAAGACCATGTTGTTTTAGTTTTAAGCTTTTACAAGAACAACCAAAATTTAAAAAGCCAAAAGAACACCACTAATGCTACTTTCATGCCATACCCAGGATTCATCTCCAGCCAGGCATCCAGCTGGCTTGCTTTGGGTGCTTCTGGTCCAAATAGGACCTTGCCGGTTTCCGTGTGAGTCACTTTGACAGGGAGGTCGCTCATCTGACTGCTCTCATCTATCGGCTAGAAAGGAGGGAAAAAAAAAAATCACATCACCGCTTGATGTTAAGACATTCTCCTAGCTGTGTGCTGGATGTTTCTCAGCCTTTTGGCTGCCCAGTATCTGAAACCTTTCTCTGTGTTTGGAAATTTCACTACCTAACGAGTCTTGGTAGGAGGTGAGAGGCCACTTCCCTCGAATGAAACTGAAAACGCCGCCTTCCAAAAAGCTAAGGCACGGGCAAAATCCTTAGCTCCACCAACTGGATGCATCACCAAGGCCCTGAGTTAGAAGCCAGAAGTTCAAGGGGCTGAGGACAAACAGTCACACTGGTGGAAGGGCAGGCCACAGTGGCAACAGCAACGATGCCAGAGAAGTGATATTGGCCGTACCAAGCTCCTGCCTACTCCCAGCAGCAGCCATGTGCTCACTGGACCAGTTACACAGTATAACATTGGGTAGAGTGCTGAGTCAGGTTCTCCAGTAATCCCAGATATCTGATGAGTTATCTAACATCCTATTAATAAATCCCCTTTTTATTTAAAACAGGCAGAGTTGACTTTTGGTAATTTGCAACTAACAACCCCCCAATCCCTCAACTAATATTTCCCAGATAACAACTATTACAAAGTTATAGTTTCAGAGAGAATGAAAAAAGAAAAAGGTATTGTAACCCATGTCATCTCATTAGTGGCTGGTTTGGCTTCAGAACCAGTGTCTTTTATCTGAAATCAAACCACTAGGTATCTAACCCAACCACTGGAACCTGTGATAAAGAGTATGATAAAGAAAAGAGCTCTACTTCTCTGGAATCTGAAGAATCGACCAAGATTGAGCTAAAGTTCACTATTAAACTCTATGAAAATGGCTTGCTCAGAAAACTAAAAGAATACCTGAAATTGCAGAGGTTGTGTTTAACCTACTTCAGAGAACAAATTGTCTTAAAAGGCCTGAAAATGGAGCGATCCTATGCAAATGAATGCTACTGATTATAGGGTAATCCTATATTTCTATAAGCAGATCCCCAGGGAAAACATTTGTTTGGAAATCCTTGATTTATGAGTGGTTCAAGTTATCTATCTCCTGAAAAGTAATGAAATGAATGTCTGGATAATTCATTAATTCCAAAATTTTTCCTAAATTACTTTTTTTTCTTTTTGGAGACAGGGTCTCACTCTGTTGCCCAGGCTAGAGTGCAGTAGCATCATCATAGCTCACTGCAACCTCAAACTTCTGGGCTCAAGTGATTCTCCTGCCTCAGCCTCCCAAGTAGCTGGGACTACAGGTGTGTACCATCACACCCGGCTAATTTTTTCTGTTTTTTGTAGAGATGGAGTCTTACTCTTGCTCAGGCTGGTCTCAAACTTCTGGCCTCCAGCAATCCTCCGACCCTCGGTCTCCCAAAGTGCTAGGATTATAGGCATGAGCCACCTCGCCTGGCCCCTAAATTACTTTTAATTGAAGGTAAGCAGAAATGATAGGGGAAAAAAAGTATGTTGTAGGTTATCTTCTATTATCTTGTAGGAAATGACCAAAAACTGCCCCCCAAAACATAAACCCAATGGTTCTTTCCCTCTACTTCCTCAACAAAACACTGTCAGAATAAGAAACAATATATTAGTGATTATCCCCAAAAATAACCTTAAAAAAAGAAAAGGCTTATTTCAGACTGTCTTTTTTTTCTTTTGTGTATGTTAAAGCAATGGTTTCCAACACCATTACTTTCATGCCAACACGATGCTTCTTCCTCATTAATGTAAAAGGTCATCTATACACTCATGAGATAAAAAAGGGAAATCTACCATTTGCTATCAGTTCCTTTGGAAAACTCATATTCTGTTATCTTGAGCCATTATAACACAGCTTGTTTTATTGCTAATGTCATGCCTCAAAGAAAACTGGAAATCACCGTGGCTGGAATTAGAACCTTGGCAAAATCACTGAATGAGCACAGAAGAGTGTAATAAGAACATTATTTCAAAACAAACTGAGCAAAGGTCCACTTTGCAAACCTAAGCAAACAGAACACATGCGTTAAGATTAAAAGAAAAAAAAAAAAACGTGCATGTAACAGGCTCAAGATCAGTAGCTAATTTTCCCGAGAGATAACAGGAGATAAGAACACCATTACACTAACATGTTAAATCCCTCCCTGCCTGCTTGTTAATTACAGGCCCTATGTGAGGCATGCTTAGGTAAGGCTCGGCTTTTGCAAATTAGAGTTGTTTCTAAGTGCTCTAATATATAGTATTCTTCCCCCATAACAGCCCGCTGAGAGTTTCTTACACATTAGATATTTATCCTGATCCTTTCTTTCCTTCTGATGGATTATAGTGGTTAAGCAACATTTACTGTTCAAGAGGCTTCTATTCTGCATGGAACAGTGGTGAAACCTTTTTTCAGCATCTAGGCTAAGTTCACAATACGACTCACGTGCACAATGATTCTAGAATGAGAAGAGGCAACACCCCACCCATCCCAACCCGCCAAGCACGTTTCTCAGCATCTGTGAGAGAAGAAGGCGGTTTGAAACAAACCTCCTTCCTGAGCTGCTCTGGGGGTGTCTCTCCTATTGTGAACCACGGGCATAGAGCCTTGAGTTTTTCAGAAAAAAAAAATCCAATAAATAAATAATTGTATCCTCGTAATTCAAGAGAATATTGGAAATGGTAGGAAACAAAATCTAGGACTAGACTGATGAATATACACATAGAAGCTACGTTGTAAGCCTATAGAAAATGTCAACAAAATAAGTTAACCACATATGTGAATTGTTTGGTTTATGCATTTTTATAATTGCAAATTAGTAATAAAGTACGGAAACTGGGTCATATTTTATGCTTCTGCATCATTTTCTGGGCAAATATAATTATAGAATCATTTAAGATTATTATACATTCTATGTATTCATAAATATGTGCTTACATGTGTGCAGAAAATTCTGGAATGGTACACAAAAAATTGAATATCAGTTGATTGGTAGTCTGAGATGGAAGTAGATTATTTTTCACTATATCCCTTCTATATTATTCTAATTTTCTCCTATGCTAATGTACTACTATTTTTAATTAAAAATAAATAGCTGAGTAAAAATAAAATTAGTATACACAAAGAATGGTGCTGCAAGGTATGGCAGAGATGCCATTCAGCAGAACACAGCAGAAATGGAAGAAAACCCCTCACCTCTCCATCTGGTCCCAGGGCAGACTCTCCACCTTCTGCATTCTCTTCAGCCTTCTGCAAAACAACAATATCAAATGTTATGTGTCCACCAAGAAAATGAGTGCAGGACTTCATGGTACTCTGGTTTGTGACAGAATTTCCTCGCTACCCATCATCATCTAACACAGCCTAAGTGTTAATGCCTTTTATTTTTACTTCTCTTCACTATCTGAGACAAAGAGTGTATTTTATTAGCAACTTGCAGAAAGTCATTTAAAGCCGGATATGATCCGGGGCCAGCACACTAGAGATTTGTGGATTGTGTCTTCAGGGACCCAAAGAGCTTAAGACATGGCAGCATCAAGACGGCGGTCAGAATCTGAAATGTTCTTCTCGTGTTTGGCAGTGTGAAGACAAATCCTGACATAATTAGCTCAACTTTCCTATTCCCCAAGCAAGTTTTCATCAGCAATGAAGAATAACATTCTAAAAACGTCCATCAGAAATAAGCTCTGAACTGCTCCTGGATCATAAAAATATAAAATAATACAAAACTCTGAGTTCCCTGGATGTTTTTCACTCTATCTAATTGGCTTTCATAATATATAGCATTTCCATTGTGTGTAAAATTTGATGCAGAAACTGTAATCTCATGAAAAATTCTGTGATCTACCATTTCTTAAATTTTCCAATATCTTAGTACATTAGCCTCTATGTGCCTCAAAGACAACCTAAGTGAAAAGCTGAGATTATGTCATCTTTTGTACTCAAGAGTTTCACCTGTAATATACACAAAATAGTCTAAAATTTCTTCCATTTATGACAACCGCTCTGGCAAGTGAAACCTTTAATATCACTTTTACAGAATCTTTATAAAGTTATTGCTGGAAAGCTATACTACTTCTGTGTAGTACAACAAGAAAAAAACTACTATAGTCATTTCCTTCCTCAAGATATTTAAGAAAATGAGCTTTCCTCCCTTGGGCTCTTTAGTTAATTAAAGATATATATAATGATAAGGAATCAATATTAACTCAACTTTGTTTACTTAAGACATTGATTCTAAAATACATTTTTGCCTTTCATGAAAATAACTCAATAATCTCTTGACAAAACAACTTTCATGAAAACATTTAACATTAAAAATCTAGCTTGTGATCCATACTGAAGAAAAGTAATTCCATAAATGTTTGAAATTTTTGAAGTTTTTTTATTAATGTATAAAATACATGTATGTATGTATCTATATATGTATAGTATGCCAAAGCCCTAGGCATAAATGTGTGTAAGTGTGTGTATGTACACCAAAGCACAAAGCATAAAAAATGTAGCTTTTACCAATAAGTAGGAAATGAAATACTCCCTTTATGATTTTCCAAGAATTTAATTTTCTGTTTCTGCCATCATAAAGCGAAAATATTTACGAGCTCAAAAGGACCAACTAGCTTCAAAGAGCATCAGGCCCTGTATCTAGGCTAGGGACACAGGACAATGGCAGAAGCCCTCAGTTCAGAAAAGAAACCATCCCTGCTACCAGTCACTGAAGGTTCCATTCTTGGAATCTCAGGCACTATACTCAAGGGACTGTTTTAATTAATGGGAGAAAGTCAATTAATCCCACCATTCTTTCCATACAAACTAGAAATAAGCTACAAATTTGGCCACAAAGAAAATCAAATAAGACAATGAATAAGCCAATTTCAAATATCTAGCAAGTGGAATTGGATCACCATTTGAATGAATAGTACATTAAAAAGCTTGAAGCATCATACATTAATAGAATCAAAACTATTGTAAAGGATACTCTCCTCTGAATATACTATTGACTAGCTAGATTGTTATCTAAAAACTGCCTTATATTTAGGCCCTTCCATTATTTAAAATCCCCTAAACTATTTTTAAAAATTCCATTAGGTATCAAATTTGAGAGGCAAAGTAATATTAGATTTAAGATGCTTGGTTCTGGAATTAGACCACCTGAGTTTGAATCCCAGCTCTGTGACTAAGTGCAAGAGACCTTAGCTGTATGATCTTGAGCAAATCTTCTCTTCGTGTCCTGGTTCCCTCTTGTATAAAACAGGGACGGCAGCAGTATCTGAGTTACAGGGCTGCTGCAAGACTGGATCACGATCTCAATACATACAATCCAAAGCTGCAGATATACATGCTGTGCATCAATCTCCACGATGTACAGGAGTCAATGATAGTCCAAGGACTATTCTTTTATGTCTACAATTAAGACTGGCTATAGCATAGCCTGAAAACTGCTTTATAAGGCTACGAGGTCAGGGATTTCTGTTTGTTTTGTTCACTGATGCATTTCCACACCTACGGGGGTAACTGGCACTTAAAAAGCACTAATAAATACTTGGTGAATGGAGGAATGAATGAAAGCACCAATAACAATACCTTTCACTTAGCATACATTCACTATTATTATTGTAATTAGGTGCCAATATATTTGCAAGTCATAAAATAGTTAAGAACACACACACACAATTTGCCATTGAACTGGCGCTCTGAGACTTCTTTTTTTTTATTTTTTATTTCAGCATATTATGGGGGTACAGATGTTTAGGTTACATGTGTTGCCCTTGGTTGCCCCCCACCAAGTCCGTGTTTCAAATATGTCCATCCTTCGGGTAGTGCGCATTGCACTCCTTGTGTATACAAATACCCGTCCCCTCCTCCTCCTCCCCCCTTCCCCAACATCCAATAGATGTTGTTCTGATATGTGCATTTATGTGTTGATTAGTTAATACCAATTTGATGGTGAGTACAAATGGATCCCGTTCTTCTGCTCTTGTGGTGCCCCACTTTGGATAATGGGCTTAAGTTTAATCCAGGAAAGTGTAAGTGGTGCTAGATCACTGTCATTTCTTATGATTGAGTAATATTCCATTGTAAACATATACCAAATTTTGATAATCCACTCATGGATTGACGGGCACTTGGGTTGTTTCCACGTTCTTGCAATAGTGAATTGTGCTGCCATAAACATTCGTGGTGCTCTGAGACTTCTGCATACCCTGTGCTTAGATGCAATTCTGCTGTTATTCTAAGAGGTGGAAGCCAGGTGGCAGTCTACTGTATGGCCAAGAGATGTCAATTTCTCCCACCATGCTTTGGATTCTTTCAGTTTGGTGACATATCTGGTTGGCATGCTTTCATAAATCCATGGTCTCACATCAAACTGATACTATATCTCAAAACAAAACAAAAAAGAAAAACTAACCAAAAAAGTCCCCTTTTTGGTTCAAAATTAACATCCAAGAGACTGTGATCAGTGCTACCGTTTGAGCTAACTTTGGACAGTCTCTGAGCACCTGGTGAAATGGCCTAGTGCAAACGCAGCAGCTGCTACAGCATCTCCCACACCTGAGGAATTTTCACAGTTATCTGTGCCATGTATTTACAAACCCATGCTGTCAATATTACTGGCTGATGCCTGAGCTTATTTCCATTGATTAAAACCAAACCAAACCAAACCAAACCAAACCAAAACACTACAATTCATTCATTCATCAGAACCGAAGAAACGTTGTACTCACTTCTTCCTACAAGCAAAAAAGTTTAAAACTAATTATGCTTATGCAGGGAGGGAGCAGTATAATTAACCTAACCATGTAAGGGGACATGATATAAATTATTCATAATTAAAGATTACTCATCACTAAAAATTACTCAAACTAAAGACAATCTGGGTTCCCATTTTCTAAGGCCAATGTCAATTCATGTCCTCCGTTTAGGAACGTTCACAAAAAAAGCCATGTGGGTGGCTACCCACCTTCTTTGCAAAAGGTATGTAAAATAATCAACAACAGGGCTGAGGAGGGAAGGAATTCCCTAAATATGAAAATCTCACATAAGCTGAACTCAAGAAAATAGACTTCCATGGGGCACTTTATTTAGATTACCACAACACAGGCTATAAACAGCCTCATTTTGTAAAGAAACAGTTTTATATCAACTATTTTACAATCTATATTATAAAGTGAATGCACTTTATCCCCCAGCGGGTGTTGTTATAATATGCTGAGACAACATTCAAATGTGCTGGCATCTGAAGGACTCATTCTGCTTCACTGGAAACCTGAGCTTTCAGAAACCACTTGGGTTATTTTTATTGTCATTTAAGTGGACCTTTGAGCATTAAGATAGGTGATCGGGCAATAAAAAATGCCCAGGAATATCATATTAACAGACATTTGCACATTACTTGGGATGTTTCTTCCAGAAAAAAACCAATTGGAACATTTTGATTCAAGTAACTGGTCAATCCAGTTAAACAGGACTTTGATCCAAACTTCTGGTTTCACTCATTTTGACACTGAACTAATCAAACAAATCTAATCATTGTGGCATTGTGTTCACCTAGCCTTAAATAGTCCCTACACTCAAATGTGTAGAATTACATTAGAATCTTTCTTTTACCTATGAAAATTTTGGGGGAGAAAGCTGCGATAAACTAACTATATAATCTTTGGGGAAAACAGAGATGAAAAAATTGAGAAGAATCAGAGGGCAACTTGAATTTAAAACAAATGTCTCAACAACATTACTATTTTGTATTTGATATTCTTTTCTATTTGATACTCTTTTCACCGAAAATTATGCCCACACACTTTTCTGATTTTTTTTTTCATATCTAATTTTTTTTTTTTTTTTTGAGACAGAATCTCGCTCTGTCGCCAGAACTAGAGGGCAGTGGCATCATCATAGCTCACTGCAAACTCAAAACTCCTGGGCTCATGCAATCCTCCTGCCTCAGCCTCCCAAGTAGCTGGGACTACAGGTGCACCACCATGCCCGGCTAATTTTTTCTATTTTTAGTAGAGACGGAGTCTAGCTCTTGCTCTGGCTGGTCTTGAACTCCTGGTCTCAAGTGAGCCTCCAGCCTCAGCTTCCCAAAGTGCTAGGATTACAGGCATGAGCCACCACACCAGGCCTGATATCTAATATCTAAAAAAGATAAAAATACATTTCTTACAATTATATCATCAATACAGCATGCCAAGAAAGCTCCCCCTCCAAAAATCACAGTCCTGATATTTACTTATAATAGTGGTTGACATGAGAGGGAGACAAAGAAAGAGAGAGAATAAAGTAACTTTTAGAAAGAAAAACACCACAATGAAAAAGATACCTGGCCTAGTGTTGTCCCATAGATTCTGAGGATGTGCCCGTTGGTATCAAGCGTTTCCAAGAAACGTCACAAATAAATAATAAGAGCATAGTTCTACTGCTATATCCCATTGAAAGATGTGGAAAGGAGAATTAAATATTTATTTTTGGCTGAGGTCAACAGCTCTGGAAGCTGAACCCCTGAAAAGGCTAGGCTTCTAAGAAGTAGGCGGGATGCCCTGGCATGAGCTCCTAACCACAGCTTAAGGAAAAACACACCCTAAAGCACTATGAGAAATGCCTTACTGTCATCAGAAACCTTTGTAAATTAGAGGCCATGTAATTAGAAAATTCTCTTTGTAGGAACTGGAGGAGCGGGATGGTAATAAACAGTTCACCAAAAATAATAAATTCTCATTTTTCCTCTGTATGCCTCAATAGTCAAAGAATCTGTCATTGTCCTAAAAGACATCTTACCCACTAATATCCAATTGATTCCCAACTAGAAAAAAATAATGGCCATTCATTGATTCAACATCACATAACATATGCAGTAAAGGTTTAAAAAAAATTATTTTCAAAAAAACTTAACCACAATACAACAATCATGATTCTACTTTTATATCACAGAATTATTTGATAAAATAACTAATATTTACTGAGCACTTACTATGTACCAGGGAGTGTTTTAAATGCTTGTAACCCTCACAACAAATCTATGGGGTAGATGATGGTCCTAACACATTCTTACAGATCAAGAGACTGAAGCAAAATGTAATAGATCTTTTAATGAAATAGCTCACAAGGGAATAACAGCAAATTGGCACATGTGTTCTTGCGCTGTTATGAATTTAAAAGTCTACATGCTAACGTGATTTGGACAGTGGTCCAATTTACTACTTTAGCCATGTTCAATCCCATTTATATGTACTCTGGTGGCTTTATGCAGCTCTGTCCCTTTTTTATCCTGCAGTCACGCTGTAGGTGTTAGAGAACAACCATGGCAGAGAACAGAGACCTGAAGGTCATGCTAAACGCACATAATAGCACACTCACTCTGTAACACTGCAGAAACTGGTTTAATATAATTAGATATTTCAATACTTTAAAAATTATTCCTTCTCTGATGCTAAAGTAGATACATATGGTTTACTTCTTTTTCTTTCATTTCAAGGGCATTAATAGAAGATCAGGTTGAGAATGAGAAGTTTCAAAATATTTATAAATGTAATACTTCATAGAAGAAAAAATTAAACAAGGTCATGACAAGTTAAAGGAAACCTACCCCATTATTCACTAACAACAAGTGAACACAATAAACTCCCCACGGAAGACAGAGGCCTTCTCTGTTATGCTGGGGAATTAAAAAAAAAACTATAATACTAGTTTAACACTAACAGGAAAAGGTAATCCTTTTCCAATTAAATTACAAGGTCAATCATTTTCTTTAATAGAACGGTCCTTAGAGCTATCTATATCTTAGTTATCCTTCAAGTGTTGCTACCAGGTCAATGCTATTAACTCTCTGCATAAAAAAGGGTTTTCTGAAAACAAAGGTTTACTGATACCTTAGTTAATTTTAAAAAATAGATACAGCATGATGTTTAATAAATGGGAAAATGCTGAAAGGGACAGCACAGAATTTTTAAGCTTATTGACACAGAAGTTTTCCTCCACCACAGAGAAGCTGGAACAAGCAACTCTCAATCATTCACTCTAATGGAGGGAAGAAGAACTACAGATGATCCAACATGTCAAATAATCAGCTTTGAAAGCATCCTTTTCCTTTGTACTTGAATAAAGGTGCATCTGGAACTGGGTAATTCACTTTAAACTAAGTCTTAAAGCCCTGGTGAAAGAGATAGGTTCCAGGAAGGGCTAGGAAGGGCCTCGGTTTCTTTTTGTTATCCCATTTCTCCCAGCAAGATGCCCAGGAAGGAAACACAGCCCCTCTTCCTTAGTCCTGCGGAGGACAAGGAGTGCTCAAATGCTAGGCATGCGACCAAAGAGATATATGGCTAAAGAAGTAAAAATTTTGCACATTGATGGAGTCAGGCAATCAACGGGAGATGCCCAGAGATATCCACAAAGGCAGACTGTAGCTGCTCTGGTATTCAATATTTCTTTGCCAAGAAATCAGGTCCCACCTCCAATTTGACACCCAGTTTTCCTCCACAGTGCTCATCCCAGTTTATAATTATATATTTGGGTGCATGTCTGACTAATGTCTGTCTGTCTTTCTCTCTTTTTCTCTCTCTGATTAAATAGTGGAAGAGGACAGGATGCTTTCCTTACCATTGCACCCTCCTTTCCCCAGTATTCTAGCACATCACCTAGCTCATAGTAAGTGTTAATATCTGCTGAGTGAAAGCATAAAATAGAATGAGTGCTAACAGCAACCCTGAAGGCAAGGGTTTAAAAGGGGAGCACCAACCTATACATCACGCAGCATAGGCAGCACCACCCAAAAAATACTGTGACAGGTCCCTGCTCTGTACAGATTAACACAGAAATATAGGCATAACAATCAACACTCAATTACATGTCTTTCTTTGCCTATGATGATACACTATCTATTACCATGGCAGGAATCTTTTAATTCTAAGCCAGAAGTTCAAATCTGGGTCATCAGCTTTTAATCACAAAGAGATGTAGAATATGAACTTTGGTACTAAAAACACTAACAGTGACAACTTCTGCAAAACACACCGCTGAATTAGGAAAAATGAAAACTGCCATTTAATGGGGTCCACTTATGGAATATTACAGAATTGTATCTCTTTGCCTCTGTTCTCCTCACTAACTCTGAAAACATCTTTTTAAGGCAGAAATTTGGAGCTGGAATTTTCCACAGTCTATAATGCTGCACTGACAAGAAAATGAGGTATTCCTTATCAACGAAATGTCTAAATCCAAGCCTTGAGTCATCCCTGTTCATCTTCACAATAAGGTAAGCTATCTCATACTAAAGAAATCAGGTGCTAGAAGGAGCTTCCTTCATCATTTATTCCTCCTCCTTAATTATGAAACAGGTATGAGAATTCAGGAGCCATGAAATTAATTATTTTTGGAGAAACATTTTGTTCAATTATTTAGTGTAGAGAATAAATGATTAAATGCTACCAATGCTCAATCTTTACAATTCTGATGAAGATTTCCTGTTGATGTTTGTACCTGGCCTCATCAGAATTTATCATGAAAACAAACTATCAATCAAGAACTAGATTACTGTACTAATGAAGCTTCAAAAGGGACCTAAATTCACAGGTCTATACTTGAATTAAGGTGTAATGTCTGCAGAGCAGAGGTTATAAGTCTTACCGTTCATTTCTCATGATAATTAGAATATATTTTACATAAGACTGTTTTTTTCTGTAACTACCTAAACCCTTATCTACACATTTACCTAACCATGAAACCAGAACAGCAGAATTGAATGAAAAATTCTGGCATTGCCATCTGTCCAAATAAACAGGCTGAAATTTGTTCCAAAAGTATCCCAAAGCTATCTCATATGTCTTCCTTTGGCTTCTTTAAATCTGTACACTGCATTTCCTTCTTAATTTCCATTTCAGTTTCTTAACTCAGCAATCCCTTGCCACACTGGCATCAAACTTAAGCAAACACTTCTTTGTGCCCATCTTCTTCCTTTCCATATTAACTGCGTGTGCTTAATTTAAAATATTATATTAAACAATGAAAATGTGCATTGCATTGTTTCAGTTTAGTACATCTTATCCATTATGCCCTTTTCTCCAATACATTGTCTAGTATACCTAATCAATATTTTCACACCATATCCATTTATGCAACTGTTGCAATTCAATAATCTAAACCTTCCATTAGTGTACAAAACAGTACTTTAAATTAAAGAGCAATACTCGCCTTAATTTGTCCCTGCCCATACGCCCTGGACTCAACCACCAGCACTAGGGTACGCACCTTCTTCTTCCTCCTCCTCTTCTTCTTCTCTTTGGCGGCCTGGGCTTGCTTGTGCTCCCAAACCAGGTTGGTCAGATTGGCCACATACTCATCGGTCTGCTGCAAAAGGTAAGCTAATCGCCTGTCTTTTTTTTGATCAATCAGCTTTCTGTACCCCTCTTCATCTTCAGCCTGTTAAGGAAAGAAGAGCTGAATGAGAGCATAATACAAGTTCACAGACAATTCCATCCTCCACTCCTTCCTCCTCTGGACAGTCTGAACTTTGACTCGTGGTGAGTGTAGCAAACAGATGAGCCAAGCTGCATATGCCACCGCATAGAGCTGGGGATGGGCAAACACACAGAAGTGTGATGTCTATGTCCCCAGACACTGGGGTTCATGGCACAGTTAGGGCACAAAGCCACACTGTGTAGGTGTGTGATCAACACTCTAAGTTAGCTCTTTGTATTCCTGTGTTGCTTTGACTGAACAAAAAAATGTTAAAATTTGACAATTCATTATCTGAAGTTTATTTTGAACTTTATATTCTAGAAATTTTCAAATATCAAAAGTAGAGAGAATGATACAATCTCTCATACAACCAACATTGCTATAGTTTGGATGTTTCGCCCCTCCAAATCCTATGTTAAAATCTGATCCCCAGTGTTGGAGGTAGGACCTAATGGGAGTGAGTGTCTGGGTCATGGGGGCAGCTCCCCATGAACAGATTAATGCCCTCCCTGGGCAGGAGGGAAGGAGGGAGTGAGTTATCACTCTGTTAGTTCCCAAGAGAGCTGGTTTTAAAGAGAGCCTGGCACCTCCCTCCCCTCTCTCTCTTGCTTCCTCTGTTGCCCTGTGATCTCTACACACACCGGCTCCCCTTTGCCTTCCGCCCTGAACGGAAGCAGCCTGAGGCCCTCAGCAGAAGCGGCTGTACAGGCGCCATGCTTCCTGAACAGCCTGCAGAGCTGCGGGCCAGATAAACTTCTTTTCTTTATAAATTACCCAACCTCAGGTATTCCTTTATAGCAACACAAAACAGACTAAGACAAACGCCAAGTAACAAGAATTAACTTGCAGCGACTTCTGTTTCATTGCTCCCCTTCCCCCAAATCCTTTCCCCAAAACTCAATTGTCTTGATGCAAATTCCATACACAATATCCTTTCATTCATAAATATTTCAATAAGCACTTCTAAAGAGAAGGAATCAAATGGGCTTCTAACAAATAATTTCTTATACTTAAAAATAACTTTCTTTTTGGCACTACACACATTGCGGTTGATAGGAAAGGTTAAACTGAGGGGATTTTTGCCACAGATTTGCACTGAACTTGACTGGAGAACAGTTACTTAGACTGAAGTCTGGTACCACTGAGTGATAAAACGGACACAATAATTTCTACCTCCACCTCCCATTAAGCAACATTATTAGGTTAAATGGAATAAAACTCTGATGTACTCTGAGCCATTTGGAGAGAAATCTTTTTTATACATCCCCATAAAAGGACACTCTAAAACATTTTTCTCATGGGATGCCAAAACAAAAGGAACACACTACAAAATCTTTAAGAGGCAACTCCACTGCAGAAAATCTTGGGATCGTCAGTCCAAGGGTGTCACTCTGGCATTTGCTCGAGTGACAGCAGCTTCATCACTCAGTGTAGCTGCTGTCTGCCCCGTGGATGAACATGAGCCTCAAATGCTATTATAACTCTAATTGCTTTTGGTTATGGTTGAACTCACTTGAAGAAAGAGTGATAAAAAACTTCAGTCTCTCTATTATCTGTATATTCCATCATTTAATTGCAAAAATTAATGATTTGCAAATGCCTAATCATTAGTGTCAAACCAATCTGTTACTGAAGTTCTAATATAGTTTCACTTCAGTTGAATCAGACAAATTTGACTGCTTCCTGCTCAAATTACTATAAAATGGTCTCCCTACCTAGTCGGAAATTTCTTGAATGGTCCCCTTTCCCAAATATGGAGAGGGAGCCTGGATAAGATGATAAGATTTAGCACTACCTGGGCACAGAGCCTTTTAAATTACGCTGCTGATTCCCTGGAAACCCCAAAATTTAACAAAAACCGTAATACCAGCAAGAAAGACAGTGTCACGTAGAATTTTCCAGGAATGTAACTATGGGCTGAGACAAATGACCTTATCTTCATCCACTCAGGCATTATGTCCCAGAGAGAATTTGCAAATCTCCTATCATTATAGATCACACTCACTTTTCTAAAATCCACAGTGTGCTCTGAGGTTCAATTCCAAAAATAAATGGTTAATAAAACAAAATACTCAGCCCAATGATATAAACCTATCCTTTCTGTGTTTATATATCTACTAAAAAATCACAGTGCAAATGTAATCAGAATAGCCATGTTATTACCAAAAAAAAAGATTTCAAAATTAACTTAAAAATCACTTTTTACACTGTCAGAGGATAATTTCTGTCATAAAAAAATGATAAGCCCCAGAAGCTTCAAAAGAAAGACCTTCTTAGATTCAAAAACACAACTTAATGAGTTATTCATTCAAAAAAAAAACTTGGTCATTCATCTCAAAGAGGCCACATGTTTAAAAGAACTGCAATTGCCATCCTTCCAGATCAGGTGGTCAAACTCCTGCAAAATACAGTACGTGACTTTATGTGAGAAGCTATAATCTGTACAGCAACACCATTCTAGGTCATGGAAATACTATACTCATCAGTTGTAGCCCTAGACTTGTGGCAGGCATTGTCTAAGAAAGAAAAAAAGATTTTACTGAATCCCACTAAAGTTCAAAAGAAATGTATTAATATTTTTGGTAAGCAGCTCTCACTTTTTCCTTCCACTACTGCCACTTTTCACATTCTCAATGCAGACAGATATAAGCTGAGCATCTTCCCAGGCTCCTGCAGCGGGGCCTCTTACCATCAATCTCCGCATTCTCTCCTTTTCAATCCGCTCTGTCTCCTTCTTCTGCTCCCTCTCCGTGTTGGCGTGCCAAGTTGCCACTGCTTTGGAAAGCTTCTGGATCTTCCCGGCCACAGACCGATGGTATTCCTTAAAATCTTTTGCATGTTGCAAAATACTGTTCAGGTATTCCTAAAGGATCCAAAAGGGGAGAAAAGGACTCTTAAAAGCCATTTCCCAAGGTCCTGTGAGGCATCAAAGTAGCCCGAGAAAACTCTCAGTGTGTATTTAACACAATTGAAAGACTAGAATCTATTCTGGGACGGGTGCCCTGGTGTGTCCCTTCAGCTGAGGTGTGGGCCAAAGGCCTTGTGGGAAAGGTGACCTCCTCAAGTTTGTTTTGTTGCAAGTCTGTGGAAGAGAAGCACCTTCTCAGCCTCTAGGGTGTGACACGTGAAAATGGAAAGACAGGAGACTGAAAGAGACCTGCAAAACAGCCATGATAAAATTTAAATCAAGTCACTCACTAAAATGAGCCTGAGGAACAACGCTGTTTCCAGCAAAAATTACATCATAAAATTAATGTTTCTTCTGCTCTCACTTAAAAAATGCTTTAGAATTGTGACCCAAAATAAGTTTATACAAAGCTAAAAAACTGCCCATACAGAATTTGTATCCACTTTTTAAATATGTCCCCTATTTACGCTAAAATCCAACATTTTTTTTTAAATGAAACTAAGCTAAGCACCAAATTAAGAACAGGAAAACAAACAAAATTTATAGGATTATGACATAAAAACAAATCCTACATCAAAATATTTCCAAACTCCTAGAAAAGAATGTTTTTAAACATCTGCCCCTGTGAAAATCTCAACTGAGCCCTTCAAAGAGGCCAGGATACCACATTTACATTTGTATAAAAATAACTTTACTCTACTTTCCTTTTCCAAGTTCCTTCTCCCAGAATTTTTCTCTAGGAAACCCACCTATGCCTACCCATTCGAAAGCTTTCCACAGGATTAGGAGGAACATGTTACCTGTAATTAACCAAATGTTTGTGTCCCCCCAATATTGATGTTGAAATCCTAATCCTCAATGTGATGGTATTAGGAGGTGGGGCCTTTGGGGGTGATTAGGTCACGAGAGTAGAACCTTCATGAATGGGATTAGTGCCCTTATGAAGGGACCCCAGAGAGCTTTCTTGGTCTCTTTCCACCACAAAGAGGAAGTCAGCAGTTTGCAACCCCGAAGAGGGCCCTTGGCAGAACTTCACCATGCTGGCACCCCAGTTTTAGACTTCCAGCCTCCAGAACTGTGAGAAATAAATTTCTGTTGTTTACAAGTCACCCGGACTATGGAATTTTGTGACAGCAGCCCAAACGGACTAAGACAATACTTGAGTGGAATTCAAGAAAGCTGGGTCCTAAACCTCACCCTGCAACCGACCTGCTGCTAATGTGACCTTGGACAAGTCATTTCCATGTCTTGGCCTAAGTGTACTTGTCTATGAAATGACATGGTTGGACTATATAAATTCCAAGGAATCTTTCTTTTCTGTGATGTCCCCACCACCTGCAAGGGTATATTTGTCAGTCGTTCTGACCCCATCCAGTGATTTCATTGGACATCTCGGTCAAAGTGAAAGTGAGCAAAGCCCAGGGTCTAAGGACCTGGTGTTTCTGCCGGCGTTTCCTCTCCTGCTCGATCTTCTGCTGCTTCTCCAGCTTCTCAGTCATGCGAGCTTCCCTCAGGGTCTGGCGCTTGCTCCGTTTGTATGCTTTGGAGTTGAGAGCCGTCTCCAGGGTCGTGTCCCTGCGCATGCAGGCCACCACCTCCTGTCTCAGCTGTCAAGAGCAGAGCAGTTAGAGAGCCTGCCCAAACAGAAGCCAGATTCCTGAACACTGACCTTCTCTCATTTCCATTTAATGGAACAGAATGGGGACACTACAAGTTTCTCAATCACCACTGGCCTTGTAGTAAATGAAGCAGCTAAAGTCATGCCAGATTTAAGCGATATTTTCAAGGATTATATACTTTTTCCCCCAAATAATTCAGATCAAAAGTAATTATAGTACTAGAACAGTAAAGTGAAAAAAAAAAAGACGTGGTCTTGGCTTTTAAATAAATTCGTTCTATTTAATTATTCTAATGATATTAATTAGTTAATAAGCTTTTAAAATTTTTCACTTTGTTTTAAACATCATACTCACATTCTCTTTGTGTTAAGAGATTAATTTTAATGATGCTCCAAGAAAAGAATAAAAGAATTACTTTCTGTTCATGTACAGTACAGTACATTGTTGAGCAGAAGGTACTCAAACAATGTTAATTCATAGTCTCATACAAAGGATGGGAAATACAGCTTTTGGCTTCCTCCCACTCCAACAATGATATTCTTCGCAAGATATTTAAATTTTATACTATATCATGGTCTTATTTTAGATTATTATATATATAATATTTTATCCATATTGCATGTTCTATGGTGGTCAGAGGTGGAGACTTGGGAATACACATTACAATAATCATTCAGTTGAATCTGAAATCACCATGAATTACAGTTAATTTAATTGGGAAGCTTGATAGATAACAGATTTTTTCAATAATATCAAACAAAAATCAGAGACCAACAAGAGTCCAGCATAGTGATGCTAATTTGAATGTAAGCTTATTCTTGAAAATATACTTGGTTAGTATTTATTTAACAACATTTTATCACTTAATTCATATCATGAGGTCACCAATAAGAAGGAAGTAAATAGAACTTGGAGAATTTTTCTTTTTTTCTTTTTTAAATTTAAGCAGAAATCTACTCTCACAAATCTACAGTCAAGTAGCACCTACTCACCACTGATGCCCTTCTGAGCTCTTACAACCAACAAGGCACCTGTACACCCCCTTCTGTGCTCTTACAACCAATAAGGCACATGTACACCCCCTTCTGTGCTCTTACAACCAATAAGGCACATATACACCCCCTTCTGTGCTCTTACAACCAATAAGGCACATGTACACCCAAGTTCACATGACAATAATAAGTGGAGTGGCCTGTGATTTTCATCATATGCTCCAACAGAACAAATCAAGCAATTCTATACTTACAAACTACTTTGATTCATTAATAATTCATTTTGCATGCCCCTGATTTTAACAAAACAAACCTATTTGCCTAACAATGAAATGTTCCTTATCCCCCTTGGCTTAGTGAGGCAATCTGTGGACTAGGAGACCTGTACCTTTTGGGTCCATAAAGCAAAACTCAGCAAAGGGAAAATTAGCTCTGACTCATTCCACTAGTCTTCCTACTGACTTAGAAATCAGAAAATAGGTCATTATACTGGCTTTTAATAAGTAATTACTTTATAAACTACAACAAGAACAGATAATTCACTGCTTAGTCAATATGTGGGTATAATGTGATCAAAGGCTCCAAACTTGGGTATTAATAAATAATCAAGCTATATGACACTGTTTTAGGTGTTTCTGTAAATGATGAGCTATTAATTCAATAGAGTAGCTACTTGTTAAAATTATTTTCTTATCTGTTAAAATTATTTTCATAGTCATGGCTAGCACTTTACATTTGTGCTTACAAAGAAGTTCCAATCTACTACCTTCCTGTTTTTCCTTGGAGTCATAAAAGAAAACATGAGCTATCCCTATTTGTTCTCAAGGTTTTTCATCCAAGGTAACAAAATGCCATAACTCTGACTTTTTAAACCATAGTACAGGAGAAAAAAATGTTTCCAATATATAAAAGAGAAAAGCAGAATAATAAGCAGTTCATCTTTATTACTTTTAGCTGTACGCTGCTGGTCTAAAAGATACACTACTTCACTAAGTTTATATCTTTATAACAATACTGAATAGACTAAAGGAAATGCACAGATCACACTTAAGGAACAATTACATTTATTCCTACATCTCAGATTCACTGGGGAAAAGGTATTACCTGACGCTGGAAATTGAGTAACCGAAGTGCTTTCAGCTCCACAGTTGCTTTGGTTCGTAAATCTGGTGGCAAAGAGCCAGGCAGATTTTCCAGTTCTTGTATCCTATGAGCTATGCGAGCCTGAAGTCTAAAGGAAATAATAAAATGGAGGAAGCAGGGGGAGGTGGAAATATACATTACAATTTAGTCTTAAATGATAAACATTGACCTTAGGTTTAAGTTCATGCCAAAACATATTCTAGACACTGACAGTCAATTTCTGACACCCAGCTATATTTTCTGATGTTAAACAGAGAAAAGAGCTACCTTTGCATTAATGCAAACAGGTGCTATGTGTTACTTAACGCTCTGTTTTCCTACATAACCTCTCTCTAACACCCAGGAATGAAGGCTCGTGCTATATCTAGGGGAAAAGTCAAATGTTCTTGCTCTTAGCAGACAGAGAAAATGAGACACAGAAACATTTGACTTGCTCCCTAAGCTCCCAGCCAGCCAGAGTGCAGAGCTGAGACAACAGAGTTTTTCTTTCTAACTTCCAGTTTTGTCCTAAGGCAACTGGGCCATTTGCCCTCTTTGCCAAGATGCTGATGACAACAGCCCTTAAAGCGGAGTGGGCAAGAGCAGTTTTAGGTGCTAAGGCCACATAAATCAGTCAACCCTAAACATTCAGAGAGAGCCCTGCCAACCACAACCACTTCCTCTGTGCACAGTGTTTGTTTGAGAAAAGAAAAGACAAATGAGGCACTTTTGAAAATCAGAGGCAGCAGTAAACAGTACTTAAAAACTAAGAATTTCTAGAAAAGGATGCCGGGGATTCTTATTTTAGACATCATCAAAAATACGACTGCAGGTACTTCCTCTTAATAAAAACAAAATAGAAAATAAAAGACATGTCACTTTCTTCATTCATTTGGGATACTATTAGTGTCACACATGTAATCTGCTGGTTTTAGAGTTTCCTGGATCCTATTCTTACAAATAATTATATGCCATTTAAATCCATTTTTGGAACTACTTCCCCCTAAATTTGGGACAAAACTGTCTTGGAATAGATTTCAACAAAGAAAGAATAGTAATAAAAGAAATAACTTAGTTAAACTAAGTTAATATTAATGGCACTAAATTAAGTACAATTAATGTACAATTCTCTCTCTCTCTCTCTCTCTCTCACACACACACACACACACACACACACACACACACACGCACACACGCATGTACATACCCCCCACAAAGTAAATGCTATAATGGTCCCATTTTACTGATGAGAAAACTGAGAAAACACGTAGACATCACAGAGCTAAAAGGAGGGAGCCAAGATTGGAACCCTCGTTTGCCCGATACCCAAACTACTGAAATGATATAATAGATAATTAAAATGCACGATCTGAGAACTTTCCTGAACCTCAACTGTAAAAGTTGAAAATTAAGAATTCTGTTAAAAATGAATATCATGGTTTTTTCTAACCTTTATGATGTTGCATAATAACATGAAAAAGTAAAACCTTCTGTGAGATGCTGCAAAATATCTTAATACGTAATATGGCCCAAATATCAAAACAAGTGCTTTTTAAAACCCTACAGTTGTTTGGTATGGAGGGAAATAAAATGTCATTGTTTGCCAAAATTTGAAAATAGTAGTAAGGAAAATGATTCATTTTTCACTGACTTCACTAAAAATAATATTTATGACAGATTTCTGTTTTATTTGCTATATACATTTTATTGATTCTGATTTACTGAAGGATTCACTATCATAATCATTGCTGCATGCTGCCACTTTAACCCTGAATACCAATATAAAAAATAGCACTCTTAAATGGTCTTACCATTGAAAGACTAAAAATTTGTTAGTTCAAACAACAATAATAAATTTTCATCATTTTACTCTTTTGGTAAAATTGTTCAAACTCTTCCAACTTTCTCCCACTTTTTGTTTATTAGTGATACTCATGGGATTATTATCATGTTTTGTTTTTTATTTTCACTATATGAAACAAACATCTACTTCATTTACCCAACTCATTTTCTAAAATATCCACATAGTCCCTAATCTCCAAATACAGCAACAGATAGATGATGCATCTTAACGATTAGGATATTAAGAGGAAAATCCACTATGGATTTTTTCCAAATATATAAGTTAAAGGGAAAAAAAGTCAAACCAAAACAACTCTACTTTTGCAGGATTATGGCCAGGCGAAAGGAAAATTAAATATTACAGTGGGGTGAAATGATAGCCAAAGATTTGGTTATTTTACTTCCTTGGTTCTCGATTCCTTGCAGACCTTTCTTACTTGAATATCCTAGAACTCAGACTATCCCTTGGTACCCTGGTTTATTCTCTTTGACAAAGTAGGTCAGATGCTAAATTAGAGGAATAGCTATTTCATCTTCCAAAGGACTATAGAACTAGGACTAAATAAATAATTGTAGGGCAACTGCACTGACAGTGTAGAGATTAAATCACACTCAACTGGAGGGTGGGAAGTAGGGGGCTGGGGGGTGGGACTTGGGGTAGATGGGGGGTTGGGTGACTAGGGCACTGGAGTGAGTGGGAGCCGGGGGGTGGGGTGCACTTCTCCTCGAAATGACTGCTTCTCCAAAGAGCCTAGTAATTTGTCAGTGAATCTGATTTCCCAGCACAAAAGAATCTCTCTTTTATGAAAAGGAGGCAAGAGGTACAAAGTGCAAACTCTGGGAGAAGAAGAAAGGTGGATTCCATAGTAAAATGATAAGCATTCAATTCGGTGGGTAGGAAAGGTACAGGAGGGGCTTCTGCTAACATGGAAAATTGTATCTTTGTTGTTGTTGTTCTTAATAGACATCTTCATTTTAAATAATGCTCCTCTCCAGACAATTTCATCTTCCTGTCAATGGGATTCAGCAGGTAGTCCGATAAAGAGATTCAGGATTCTAAACTTCCTGAAACAACAACAAGATATAATACTGCATAACTGCAGGAGACTCATTTAGTGTCCTCACAAGTACAGAAAATTGAAGCAGAATTAGGTCACTCAGGTTTTTCATACAGATTGAACAGTAAATCAAGAGGGGTTACTGTTCTGGCAAGAAAAAGAGTTCCATTAAAAGGCAACAGATATTTGTTCAGGTCCAGAGGAGAAGTTTATGATTCCTGTAGGAGAGTTATTTGAACAGAAAATGACACTGGTACATTTTGTTCCTTCAAGGAGCTGAGTGACACTTAAAAAGGAGAGAGAGAGAGTGTGTATGTGACTTTTTGAAACTCTGCTGGTAAAGAGGCTATTGGTAATTTTTGAGAAGGAATTTTCGGGGTTGCAATGGAGACAAGGGCAGGACAAAACAATCACAGGTAAGCAGCCTCGGCTTGCTTCCCCAAACAAGGAGGGTCTACTCTGCTTTCACGCTAAATTCTGACTTGATTCCAAAGACAGCCGATATGATTCAAAGATGCCCTTCCCAAATAAACCCCTTCGAGTGTGAAACACATCTTCCATGCAAACATTTGTGGAATTAGTTTACATGCCAACGTGACAATTTCTGAAGTACTTTTATTCAAGCCTCTAACTCTTAATGGAAGAAACTGAAGTTAGGCATATTAACAGGGCAAAGAAAGTGTGCCAGAAAGAATTTTTAAAAAGAAGCACATGGAAATATCTCTCTGACACTACAGAGGGAAGCAATAAAGTGCCATTGTAAGAGAAAGATGGTCGAAAAGAAAGAATCCAATCAAAATGGGAAAAAAATGTTTTAACTAGAGAGCTTGTACAGATCTGAGGCAATGTGTTCACATGCAGAAACTTATTTATGCTCCTACTGAATAAAGAAGGTCAATTTGTCAAAATTCTGATTTTAGGATGAACAAGGCAAAGCAGCCAATTGACTTAAAGTTAAAAAAAAATGTAAGATTCTGAAAATTTCCTGTCAATTTTCATAGACAAGGTAAGTGATATTACAACGGCCGAAGAAACTGACATCTGTTAAAGAATTTCTGACAGATGATTTTTGCTCAAACTAAGTTCATTAAATTGTAAAAGAATATTTTTTTATACCTTGTTCAAATCTTTGATCAGGTGATAAAGATGCACTAGACCCTTCCAGTTATCAGTGCAAAAGGCTAGTAAGCCATTCTGTTACAGAGCATCAAAAGAAAAGAGTTTCTTTGCTGTCTTTTACAACTGCCTAAGGGACTTAATCTAACCGTTTTAAGAGATGAATTCAACTAATCTCTGCAGATGAACAATTTACCCTCATATAGGCAGAAGCCAGCTATTGCTCTGTAAGTAATAATACAAATCACACCCCTGCAATGCTGCCAGTGTAAACCTATGCTGCTTCTCCACATAGTCACGGGAAAATTCAGGCTAAAGGACTCACCAACTTTCTGGACCAGGATTGCCCAGATCAATCATTTCAAAAGCCACACAGCTTTACAAAGGAGTAGAGCATCTATCAAGTAATAATAATAAAAATATGAAAAACAGCCACCCTACCACATTCTGCAATGCATATAATTCAAAAGATACTGACAGAATTTTTTTTTTTTATTAACACAAAAATGGAAGACAAAAGCTTTGGAATTAGAATAGGCTAAATAGTTCTACTTAATCCTGTATATTTAATACTGATCCATTAAGATCACTTTCAAAAAAGGTGCTAAAAGGAACTCATTACAAGAAAGTCCTACAATGTAAATTCTGGCAAAAATGATAAGGAACATTTAGAAGCCATTACAATAAAAAGCTAAAATGCACACACGCACCAACACCCAGGCTGAATAAGGAAAAAACGCTCGGACATATAAAAAATTTCTAGATGTAGAGAGCATCTATCTTATGAGGGTAGTTTAACAAAGGTACTGGTAGCTCTGTACCATTAGGGTAGGAAAAAAATATTACCTCTTAGGAAATCAGAATTTTAGAGTCACTACATGATACCTCTGTATCTCATTACTGACTCTTCAGCTTTTTTAAATTCAACAGCAACATAAAAAAGTATTGCACATGAATACAGTCTTTCTGCCCAGGAGTATGCTAGTATTTAACTTTGTAACATACAGCAATTATTCACCCAACAGAATCTGCTATCAGCATTGAAATATCAATTGATGATGGGTATCTAGCTCTCTAGGTATACACAAAATGCTGGAAACAGTAATATAAAAGCTCTTCATGGATGATTAGGAATAGTAATGAGAGTAAAGTTACACTCTTCATTCAAAAAACTGCACAGATCTAATGGCAGTTATATGTCTAATTTCTTTTAGAGTTAACTCTCAAAGCCGGTACCTTAGTATTTTAGTTTAATTACAAATAAGTGGTATTCTTTTCAATAAAGATTAAGGTAATGTTTTAAAAGAGAGCCCAAATATTGCTTATTAACATTTTCTACAATGTTTAAACTCTAATTTTCTTTTAAATTAAGTAATATTTGGGAAATAATAATAATAGCTAATATTTACTAAATGAATCAGTATTATTTTATCTTGTCAACTCTTTGAGAAGTATCTTCTAACATATGAGGAAACCGAGTCACAGAAAAGAGATAAAACTTGACCACAGTAACACTGCTCGTAATGACAGAGTATGCATTCTGGCAGACTCCAGAATCCACAATTTTAGCTTTGTTTTATCTTGACTCAGCACTTACTGGACTCCCTTTTGGGTTGACGTTAACCATTTACATCAGGGGGCTGCTAACTACAGCCTGCAGGACAAATCCTGCCCACAGCCTGTTTTTATACATAAAGTGTTACTGGAACACAGCCAGCCCATTATTGTCTATAGCTGTTTTCACACTACAAGGGCAGCACTGAGTCCTTGTGACAGAGACTGTAAGGGCCCGCAAGGCATAAAATATTTGCTATCTGACCGTTACAGAAAAGATTTGCCAACCCCTGATTTTGATAAATATGCCAGATCAGATAAAAATTAAGTTTCTGGAGTAAGAGTTTAAATAAGGGCCCTCATATGAAGACACTTACACAGGGTTTACTCATAAAGCTGGACCAAGCTATAGGCCAAAACACACATGAATTAAAACAAAGAACATATTATCCCAAGCTACCAAAGTATGCTTTAGTGTGAGATGCAGCATTAACCTGCAGGTCAGGCCAGCACAACACACTCAACACGGACCACCTCAGTCATTATTCAAGGACACAAATACAAACAAGGATGATGCGTTGCATAAGTGAATTGTGAGATGACCACTTTCTTGGATCCACAGAACTCCCGGCTGGAAAAGGACCTTGAATCGCCAGTGCCTGGCATGTCACGGGGTAGACATAATAAAAGTCTTCTGACCGAATGAGTGAAAATCACGGTTTGGCCAACCCACTGCCATCATACCCTCCGGACCCCCAGTGGCATACGAACTCCTGTGACTTTGTTCTGAAGTCATTCTCCTAGCATAAGTTTCCGTCTCCGCTATCTCCTTGAGGCCCTTCCCTTGGCCCGTAACAGAACGACCACGACAGAAGGGGCCACCTCACCCCTGGGCTTGGTGGCACTTGCTGGAACACGGCAGGTGCGCCTCTCTCCGGCGAGGGTGCCTTACCTGTATTCCCGCTCCTGCAGAATCTCCCCCGGGTCCAGGCCTTGCGGTTTCTGGATGGGGCTGATCCGGCTCTGCTTCTGCTGCAGCTGCAGGATGGGCGAGGGCTGCCCCGGGGCCGGCTGCGGCACCGAGGGCCCAGGCACGGCTGCCGCGGGCGGCTGCGCGGCTGCGGGGGGCGCGGGCGAGGGCCGGCCACTGGGCGCGGGCACCGGCAGCTTCTGCGGGGTGCTTGGGCCGCTCAGCTCCGGCCCGGGGCCTGCGGGACAAGAGCGACATGGGCAACTGGTGCGGGACAGCTCCCTGTGGGCCACACCTGGCCTGCGGACGCCCCCGGGACCCAGTGATGGGAACCACTAAGTGTCTTAAAGACCTAACGGGAGGGGAAGGAAAAGGAGGGCAAGGAGGAAGAGAAGGAAGGAGGGAGAGAAGGGGAGGATGAAAGGGGGGAAAGGAAAAGGAAAAAGAAAAAGAATAAAAAAAAAACCTGGCATCTATCCCCATAGGGAAATGGCATTCACTAATGAACATTGGTGAAAATCGTCCCAAAATGACTCTCAACAAAATTGATTAAGGAGACAATGGCCAGGTTTTAATGTTGCTCTAGAGTGTTTTTGTTTTGGCTTTTTTTTTTTAATTATATGTGCACTCAGAGTTCAAAAAAGTAAGGGAGCCGGGCGCGGTGGCTCACGCCTGTAATCCTAGCACTCTGGGAGGCGGCGGAGGCGGGTGGATCGCTCAAGGTCAGGAGGTCGAGACCAGGCTGAGCAAGAGCGAGACCCCGTCTCTACTAAAATAGAAAAAATTAGCCGGGCATGGTGGCGCATGCCTGTAGTCCCAGCTACTCGGGAGGCTGAGGCAGGAGGATTACTTGAGCCCAGGAGTTTGAGGTTGCTGTGAGCTAGGCTGACGCCAGGGCACTCACTCTAGCCCGGGCAACAAAGCAAGACTCTGTTTCAAAAAAAAAAAAAAGGGAAGGGAATCCACACAACAGTCAGATGTAATTTGAGTGTGGTCCTAAAATCATATCTTGCAAATTGCACCGCAACCCCTTCTAAGGCAGACCTTTATCCCAATCCGGAATAGCCCTGTTCTTAGAGCCAATACTTTGCCAGCAGGGCAAGGAGTTTGCCAGTCTTCTGATGTGAGCTAAAAGGAGCACACATTTTTCTTTAAGGCCCTATAAAGTATATTTCAGGCTCAATCAGTGAATCTCAGAACTTAATTTTTTTTTACTACATATCAGAAAATATTTCTAAAAACACTCAGTACTAGCAAAAAAAAAAAAACAAATCTGCTCATTCCACCTAATAAAAATTAGCAAATATTAAGATTCAACGGACCATTTTTCTCATGTTATCAGAATAAAATGACTTGTAATCTTCAAGCTTATCAAAATATATTTAGTAAGTTAATTTAAAGTAATTTTCCACATTAAAGTTCAGGAGTTTAAATTAATCGCCAAGTACAGACCTAAAGTTTTTTTTAAAAGTGTTCCATTTCTCCTCCTAGGTGAATTTTTAGTTACCTTAAAATCATAAATAAGATTAATGATGGTACCAGATGAGTGAGCAAACTAAAAAAAAAAAAGAATCTCAGTAAGCAAATGTTAAAATCTCTAAAAGGCTCTCAAATCTTCCAAGTATTTTCTATATCCTTTCTAAGAAAAAAATAAAGTTATTAAATGGCAACAAAAATAATAGCCTATAAACCTCAGAGCGTCTTAATAATTAACCATACAAAGACATACATTATGAAAAATTGAAAACATTTATTCAATTTCCAGCAAACACCAATTAGAAATGGGCTGAAATGACAATGCAAAGAAAGCTATAAGCAAACATTTTGAGAGGAGGAATGTGAAGAATTAGAACAAACTTCTTAGGAAACTACAGTGCGCTTCTGAGTTCATGTCTGTGTGTGTGTATGTGTGTGTGTGTGTGTGTGTGTGTGTGCACATGTGGTGTTATTGTCATTCTTTCTTTCCCCTCCTTCTGAAATTACATAAAACATTTTCCAAAAATATAGAGCTAGGTAAGATTTCTTCTTCAGGTAATTTGTACTCCTGGTTCTATGGGCTGATGAAAAAATCCTGGCAGAAAATACGTATCTTTTCAGTTTTTATTTTAGGTACTGTAGATGTACCACTACAATAAAGAGCTTCTTTTCATCTAAGTACTTTCTCATTTTTTTCTGAATGGAAGGTCTTTTACATAATGCATACCTTTTTATAATACTTTATATTTAGAGTTCCTTTCATTTATATATAAGAAACCAATTTCTAAATATTAAATCTTAGGGTTATTAAGCATAGGAATGAGTTATAGAGGGAAGTTTTAGAATATTTTTTCCCTGGAGGTCTTTAAAACAGGGTACACTTTTCATTTGGGTTGTTTTAAGTGTGATCTAGTCCAATGAGAGCAGGTACGGATTTCTGACATTTATTTTAATTCTCTATGATTCTATGAATCCTCTCAATAAACTCAAGAAGCTGGTAAAATCAAATACATTTGAAGACTTGGTATAAGCATATTAAATAATGAATTTAATACACTGAGGTCCTCTAAAACCCACCACCTTTAATAAAAAGAAAATTTGGGTCTTACTGATAACATCGTAAGAATTACTTTAAATTCACTTCTCAAAGTGTTTTTCTTCCTTTCAAAGTTCAAATAATTCATCAACAAAAGCCATAACACTACAGCAGTGTTACACAATTCACTTCCTCTGGGCACTCCTTTCTTTAGCACTACTCCCTTCAAATATTGATGTAGAAGCCTATGAGGATTCCTTGAGGTATATCTAAGTCACTATTTTTAAAACCATATTTAACAACAACAAAAAAAGTATGCAGAGTATGTCTGTCACCCCTGGTTCAGAATCTAGTCATTTTTAGTCTGTGACTCCAAACTAGATCTGATATACACATGGATAGCCTTCTCCAAACACCAAATACAAGGACATGCCAATCTAGTTAGATTCACCCTTGACCTTGGGAGACAGAGAGACAGCCAAACATGAACTTACACATTCAAATCTCCAGTTTAAAAGAACTACAACCTACTGTGCACTAAACAGGTACATTGAAAACACCCTGTATCTTTCCAGAAGTAATGGTAAGGTTCACCTCAGCTCCATCACCTACTGGTTGTGTGAGCCTGAGCAAGTTACTTAACCAATCCATACCTCACTTTCCTCATCTACAGAACGAGGATAATAACCATACCTCCCTCATAGAGCAGTAGTAAGGATTCAATGAGATGATATGTCTACGTGCTCAGCCCTCAGCTCTGGTCATTTTTATTGCAACAAGGACAGAAAATAAAGAAGCCTAATTTAATTTTACTCAGCTATGCAGAAAAATCCCCTGGCAAAAGAAAGGAAACTTCCTTGTGGGAAATTCAGTACCATATTAGCTGGCAGCTTTGGGAATACTCTTTTCTACACAAATTTCAAAGTGTTAGTTTAATACAACTGCTCAGCCCAAATACTCAGATAAGTCAGCTTGCCATGTGCTTCCTGCTAATCTGCTATCAGAGACACTTTGAAGCAAACTCCACTTCCTAACTAAACACCACAAGTTCCTTTACTGTGTGGGTCTATTTTCTCCCCCCTCCAACAGATTGTATTATATAAAAACTTCTACTTACAGAAGCTAGGGAACCGAACGTAGCTTGCTGCAATGAGCCATGCCCAGATCATAACTACCTCTTCCTTAGGTTCCCATCTGTCCCTCAGGTGGCTTACAGGGTTCATCTGCCTGACTGGGTTTGCGCTCTATCAACAGCAATCATCTCCCCTACACCAGACACTCATGGTCTGTGACTTGATAAGACTCTGCCTTGGTATCTTCAAATGGAAGACAAATCACATTCTTTGGCTTATCTCCTACTCCCTCTCCAACATAAACAATTTAGGCTTAATTGTCAGAGGTACAAAATGCCATCTGCTTTTCCTTCAGTCCTCACCTTAGGAGTCAAAGTAGATGCATGCTCTGGCCCTCCAGAAGGGAGTTCCAGCACAACTAAGGGAGAGTCTGTACTGGATGTATCCCTATGCCTGTATTGAAGAAACAGGGCAACGAATTTATGAAAATACCTAAGTCTCACGTGCACAGAATTTCTGCGCATTCAGAGCTCCCACTTGGTCTTCTATAATAGTATACAGGACAATAATGCAAATAAAATTTTGTGCATTAAATAAGAATTTCAGTGGTTTCCACAGTTTGGAAAAGATAAATGTAATGAAGTGCATTTAAATCAAGCATACCAAGAAATCTTAGATGTCAAAAAAAAAAAAAAAAAAGAAAACCGCAAAAGGTGGGGTATAATCACTGAAAAAAAAATGAGCAAAAAACTTTTATTTTCTATTATAAGGTCCCTCTCCCATACCCAAAAAACCAAAACTTTTTCAGTTCCCATTTTTTATTTTGCTTGAATCTTTAAAAGGGAAAGTGAATCAAAATGAAAAGAAAAATGATGGGTTAGATTTGAGTGGTGCCCATGGCAGGTAAGGCACATTCCATTATAAAAGTGGCTGACACTTCGTAGGGGAAACCACTGCAGAGTTATGTGTTCAGTGTGCAATGGCTGGAGTCTAACCTTAACTCTCTGGCGGGAGCTAGAATGATGTCACTTTTGGTGAATGATAACTTTGGAGTAGCTTTGAGGCAGACCACTCCAGCCAAAAAGATTCTCTGCACACATGAATAACACTAGGAAATGGGACAAAAGAAAAATGGGAACACGACTACATCCAGATAAGTAAATATACTAAAATTTATTTTTTCCTAAAATATTAGCAAGGGTATTTATAAGCAACTATTTTTTTAAAAAAGGAGAGGAGATAAATAATAAATAAAGTCTAATAGTAACTTTGAAAAGAAAATTTTGCCTTATTTTGACTTGTTCTAAATGTCAATCTAAAAAAATGTCTTTGGCAAGTAAGGTTATCTGTCTCCCTAATGAAATCTGAGACCTGGGGCCAAGCTCAGCAATGCTGTCAGATGTAAGATCCTTCTCAGTGGCAGGAATGGGTTTGTTCCATTTGAAGGAGGTGTCTTCTTTCCTCCTTCATTCACGATCTCCTTGTCTACTCTGCCATAAAACCTTGTCTGCCCAAATATTTCTATTTCTAATGAAGGCCCAACCATTGGAAATTAAAAGACACGAGCAGTGAGTAATAAATGAATTCCCTTTAACGACAGGGATATGATGAGGGAAAATGTAGGTACTGAAGCCAGATTAAGAAAAAATACAGCCCTCTCTTCTGAAAATGATCCAGAAAATGCACTCAAAGTTGAGTTTATTAGGACATGAAGTATTTATTATGTACAAGTGTCCAAATAACTAAAATGTCATCTTTTAAATTTTACTACTTTGTTTGGTCTCATCATTTTAATTTTGGATAAAAATATTTCTCAAATGAATCATTCAGCTTCCTATCATCTTAAATGATACCTTGGAAACTTTTACTGCTGAGTCTAGGTCATTTTTTAAAATACCTATGCTTGTGGAGGTCTGCAGCAAGGTGACATCTGGGACCAGCTGCAACATATAGCGGATTATGCCCAGATAACAAGGTCCCATACCACTAGGGTTTGGGAGGTTCAGTTTTGCTCCCTCCTCCCCATCAAGCTTTCAGCTATTTGGTTGTCACCTGCTGGCCTCTACTTGAAACCTGCCAGATAAAATCCTCTATAAACTGAGACACCGGATATATAAAGATTATCGATTTTGTTGGCATTGTGTCTAGAGTAAGAATAGAAAGGCTTTAAGTAAGGAGGAGCTAAGATATTCTGCCTCTTTATACACAGGGGTAAAATGCTTGCATTCTGGTACGCCGACTTTGTGACAGATTCTTTCCCTTGTCATGAGCCTTTTTCCAGGAAGGAGCCAGCATGGGAAAGTGGTTAAGAACATGAGCTCTCAAGTCAGACTGCTTGGGTCTAAATCCTGACTCTCCATCTATTAGTGGTGTGACATGTGCCAAGTACTTATCACTGAGAATGGCACATGAGTAGGCCAGTAGGCACTCAGTGAGTATAAGCTACACACACATGTATGTGTATATATATGTATACACACACACACAGACACACACACCTTTTTCTTTATCTGGCTGCATTCCCAAGAGCTAGAGTTTTGCAGTTTTAAAATCTAAATATGTTGGGCCGGGCACGGTGGCTCACACCTGTAATCCTAGCTCTCTGGGAGGCCGAGGCGGGCGGATTGTTTGAGCTCAGGAGTTCGAAACCAGCCTGAGCAAGAGCGAGACCCT